CCTTCCCCCTCTCCGGCGACGCCCCCTCCACCGGACGATTCCCAGGCGTCGCAAACACCTCCCACTGCCTCATGCTCCTCTACCCTTCCTCCAAATGCATCCACTATCACCTTCTCCGATGTTGTTGAGGAACAAGCCCGACACAATCGGCTTGTCCACTTAGGCAACGAACAACGCCGCCTCAACACCATCATCTCCACCGCCAACTCTTCTCGTTTCCACCTCAAATTCATCGTTGCCACCCTTGGTGCGTCTACAACTAAGTTTCGGGCCCTCCTCGACATTGGAGCCACCGGTAACTTCATCACCGACGCGTGTGTCCGCAAAGCCGGTCTTACCTCTATCGGCTACGACTCCCCGATCACGATTCGCCTAGGGGACAAAGACACCGCCGCCGTAGTAGACCGCTATCATGACCGTCGGAACCCTCCGCAGTCAGGTCTCGTTTGATGTCATGCACTTGATGTGCGACATCGTCTTAGGATCCCCGTGGCTGGACCGCTACATGCCATACGCATTCCACCCCAACTTCCTTCGCCTCACCAACCCCCCCGACACAACCATTGACATCCCCTATCTCCCATATCCGACCTCCCAAGGCTCCGTCACCTCGCACCAATTCCTCCACATGGCTCGCCTAAGCCCCGACTCCGCCTACTACTGTCTTGTCCTTGATCGCGAAAGTCCCAAGGACTTACTCCCGACGGACAAACCCGATCAAGCCCCGCCCTCCAACCCCGCCATCACTTCAATCCTCGACGAGTTCAGGGACGTCTTTCCCGAGTCCTTACCCGCCGGACTACCTCCGGATTGTGGCGTATCGCATACCATCGATTTGGAACCCGGACATTCTCCACCTTGCCGCCCTCCATAYCAACTCTCTGTCCCCGAAGCCGAAGAAATGAAACGGCAACTCGGTGAACTCCTTGAAAAAGGGTTCATTAAGCCAAKTTCATCCCCCTTCGGAACCAGCTGCCTTTCCGTCAAGAAAGGTGGAACTTCGGAGCTCCGCATGTGCACAGACTACCGCGCCTTGAACCGGATCACGATCAAGAACAAGTACCCCCTACCTCGGATTTCCGAGCTCCTTGATCGTCTCCGTGAAGCCAAGTACTTTACCAAGATCTACCTTCGTAGTGGCTTCCACCAGATCCGTATCCGCGAGGAGGACACCCACAAGACCGCCTTCCGCTCTCGGTTCGGGCACTACGAGCTCCTCATGATGCCATTCGGACTCACCAATGCCCCCGCTACCTTCCAATCCACCATGAACCACATCTTCCGCAACCTCCTCGAAATCTGTGTCGTTGTCTACCTTGATGACATCCTTGTCTTCAGCCACACCTTCGAGTCCCACCTTCAGCACCTCCGCCAAGTCCTCGCGATCCTCCGAGAGCAAAAATTCTACGCCAAGCTCAGCAAATGTACGTTTGCCGCTTCGAGCGTCGAATACCTCGGCCATATTGTCTCCGCTGAAGGCATCCGTATGGACCCCTCAAAGGTCACAGCCCTCGTCGAGTACCCCCCACCAAGACCCTCCTCCAACTCCGTTCCTTCCTTGGCCTTGCCAACTATTACCGCCCGTTCATTCGCAACTTCTCCGAGATCTCTTACCCTCTCCACGAACTCACCCGCAAGGACGAGCCTTTCCATTGGAACGATCGCCGCCAACAAGCTTTCGACTTACTCAAGCAAACGATCACCACGGCCCCTGTCCTCAAGATCGCCGACCCCACTCACCATTTCTATGTCACCACTGACGCCTCCGACTTCGCCATCGGAGCCGTACTGTCCCAACATTTCCCCCGGCACACCGCCGAGACCCCCTCCATCAAGGACTCGCCCACTCACCCCGAGGCTCCACCTGGCGAATACCCTATCGCCTTCGCAAGCAAGAAGCTCCTTCCCGCGGAGATGAATTACCCCTCCAACGAGAAGGAACTCCTCGCCGTGATTCACGCCCTCACAGTCTGGCGCCCGTACCTCGACGGGCAATACTTCACCATCCGCACTGACAACACCATCGTCTCCCCCATCGTCTCCTCCATCCTCTCCAAGAAAGATATCACTCCACGCCAAGCCCGCTGGCTAGACTTCCTTGCCCAGTTCACATTCACCATTTGCCATACCCCCGGCAAAAGCAACCGCGTTGTCGATGCCCTCTCGCGACGACCCGACCACAAGCCCCCCGAGAAAGTCTACGCCACCATGACTCATATTCAACTCCTTTCATCGCTTCATCATCGATACACCCAAGGTTATCTTTCCTGCCCAGACTTCGCCACCATTTACAACAAGCTCCGCGATCTTGACTTTGTTCCCGACTACTCCCTTCACAACAATCTCCTCTACATCGATACCAAAGGCACTCGCCGACTTTGCATCCCCGACTCACGAGGCCTCCGTATTCAGCTGTTGGCCGAGCACCACGACGCCAAGACCGCAGGACATCTCGGTTTCCAGAAGACCTTCGACACCATGTCCCGCTACTTCTACTGGCCTTCCCTACTCGCCGACGTTAAGGCATACATTCGCTCGTGCCCCACGTGTCAAGCTGTCAACCCCTCGAACCGGGCCAAACCCGGCAAGCTCCAATCATTGTCCATCCCAACTCACCGATGGCAGTCCATCTCCATGGACTTCATGTGCGGCCTCCCCAAGACCTACCGCGGGCATGATTGCATCTACGTCATTGTCTGCCGCTTGACCAAATGTGCCCACTTCATCCCTTGCACGACCTCGCACAATGCCAAAGACGTTGCCACACTCTTCTTCGACCATGTTGCTCGCCATCACGGCCTCCCCGAGAACATCATCAGTGACCGTGATCCTCGCTTCCTCTCACAATTCTGGAAACACCTCTTCACGGCCTACGGAACCAYGCTCAAGTATAGCACTGCATTCCACCCACAGACCGATGGACAAACAGAGAAGATGAACGATACACTCCAAAGAATCCTGCGGAAGTATTGTCATCCACACCAACACGATTGGGATCAGTTGCTCACAGCTGCCGAAATTGCCTACAACAATGCTGTCTGCCCCTCCACTGGCATGTCCCCTTTCTACCTCGACCTTGGCTACCATCCCCGCTTGCGCTCTGATTTCTTGCTTCCCTCGCAGCTCAGCCCCTCCACCCCTTGCCCCCTCTCAATGAATGGATAGGAACAATGAACAGACTCCTCAGAGAAGCAACCGAAGCCCTTGAAAGAACACAAGAACAACAAGCCAACAAGACTAACAAACACAGACGTGACGTGTCATTGAAAGTAGGGGACAAAGTCTGGCTTTCTACCAAACGCTTTGAACCCGAACAAGGCTTGTCCAAGAAACTCTCGAACAAGTGGCTCGGTCCCTTCCCCATCATTGAACAAACCTCCACCGTCAACTACAAACTCCAACTCCCCCCTGACATGAGTCGTGTCCACCCAGTCTTCCATGTCGAGTACCTAAAAGAATACCATGAATCCCCGCTCCAGTTCGGCGACCACCCATATCCTAGACCTTCACCAATCATGCTACCCACAGGCCCTGAATTCGTTATCGAAACCATCATCGGCCGACGAACCACTCAGGTATCTGATCATCTGGAACCAATCACTGAATACAAAGTCAAATGGACCGGATACCCCAACGAAGAATCTACATGGGAACCTCTCTCTAATCTTAAGAACGCCATGAAACTTGTCCGCGCCTATGATCGTG